TGTCGGGGCCTGGTAGCCGCCGGCCTCTTCCCCGAGAGATCCCCAGCGCGGGTGGCGGGCCCCGGGGGCGGCGGGTGGGCTGTGCGTCCTCTTCTGCCGGGAACTGCCATGGCCCAGCGCCGGGACGCTCCAGGCCAGAGCCTCGTCCTGTTACCAGCTGTACGCCCCCGGTCCCCTTCCACGGGACCTGTTTGTACGTGGGGGTATCTGAGAGACACCCGTGTGTTTCTGAGAAACCCTTTGTTCCGAGAACGCGTCAAAAACGCATTTTAAAATTTGCTGAGGATGCCCTTCCTTGGCCACGATGCGGGGTTGAGAGAAGAGCACAGCCCAGATAAACTGTCCTGGTTTATAGTATCTGCGGTGACTCTAGCGATTTCCCACCGTCTCCTGTTCCCTTCTGTCTTGCTTCCAGTCATGAGGCCAGTGCCAATGAGGTGGATAGTACCTTGCCAGCAGTAGCAGAAGAGCTTTTGAAAGAGATCAAAAAGGCTTTTCAGGAGACCTCACACGGTACGTAAAGCAAAACAGAACCATCTCAGCGGGCGGTGGGCCAGTAATACTGGCGTGGTCAAACCTTCAGGTAGCAGTGAGGGTTGTTCGCCTCCTCTTGTTTGTATCTTCTGCAGACTGTCGCCTAAGGGGTGGCCTTCACTTTCAGGAGTGGCAAGTTGTATCGGGTGTTTCCAGCTTTTGTGTCCCTGTCCGGAGACAACACAAAGGTGTTTGAAGCACAGATAATGAGGAGCAGCCCCCTTCTCAAAGTCAAGCCCTTTCAAAGATTAGACCAGTTTGGACACTTTTTTGAACATGGGACCTAAGGTGATGCTGATTGCTTAGAGCTTGTAGTGTAAGTGGTTGCACTTGAGGGATGACAACTTACATACTTCCAGGCAGGCATTTAGTTGTGCCTACTGTACTGCTGTTTTTATAGACTCACTAATTTCAAGACTAGAGTTGAAAGGGAAATCTTCATAAACCCAATCATGTTTCATGACTGACCGGCAGAGGGTGTTGTGTTAGGGCAAAGAACAGCTTTCCTGTTGCTTGAATGAAGCAAACATAAGCCAACAGTTAAATCTTGGCCAATTCTAGCAGCTAGTTAAGAACAATTACCTTCATTGCACTCTGGATTACTAACGTAGTTCTGTAATCTGTGCTGAAAGAATATTACTGTTTGTGTTTACTTGATAAGTAGCGCAGAATGGTTCTTCCTTAGGAAAGTGTCTATTTAAGGAATATTTTTAACTGCACTAAAACCAACCAAATAAACATTCAGAGAAGTCTGTTTGAGCACTACATTTGAGTGGGGAATGGGCAGAGACTTAGTGTCGAAACTGTCAGAGTGACCACATTGACAGCTTTTTGGCATGCTTGCAGTATGGCTCCCATCAGGTTAGAGTAGATCCAAAATCTACATGTGACTTTTAAAAAGAGCTTTATAAATCCTGTTGTAAACTAGGAAAAAAAAAAAGGTCAACATTCCTTTTAAGGTATACTTCTCCTTAAAGCACCAAAATAGTACTAAGATGTACGCTGAGCCATAACTGCAGAAACAAACTGATCGATCACTTTGGAGATTTAAATTAGAATAAAGTTGGAAAAGTCAAACCAACAGCGTAAGTCATAGAGAATATTTTGAATTGTTGGAACAAAGGATTTTAAAGTCAAAAGTCCTGATCTTCCAGTGGAATACAGAGACATAGTATACTGTGTCCCATCAGTGGTAACAGAAAGATCAGATTGGATGATCAGAGCCTAAGCTGTTAGCTACAACAGACTAATTTTCTTAAGTGTAACTTTCCATCTTAACAAGAAGTTCCCATAAGTGAAGACATTATGTTTCTATGTGCTGTATTAAGAGCTATAAACTAGTGACGCCCTGCAAGACTATACTGGGAAAAGAACAACATTTTTAAAGTTTTGATGCCAGAGTTCTCAACTGATGCCAAGAAAGTTTCGGGGAAACCAATATTTTTAACCAACTTCTTAAAGTGGCAGAGTAAGATGTTGAGGCCGCATGCCTTTTCTTGAATGCTTTTAAAAGTAGGATATTATAAAAGTAAGTATATTTGGGCTTCTGCATTTCTTTTTAAAATTAATCCCTCTGGTTCTGATTGTTGTACTTGGTAAGTGCCTTAGCACTACCATAGCAGATCATTTTGCTGCTCCTTGTTGCTTTTTGGCGGCTAGAGAGGATGGCTAGAGCACTGCAGTCCTGTGTGACCTCTGGGGGTACATTAAGGAGACACTAGCCTTCTTGTGATGTTGGTGTCTCTCACAGTGAGGAAATTCAGCAAAATCATGCTTTGTTTTTCTTTTTGTTGCAGTCCCTGATGACCTGCTGCTGGGGTAAGTATCTTTTGCTTCAGTTCTTGTCCCAGGTGTCCTGCTAAAGGGCAGCTGATAATCTGCTTTCATCATAGTACCACTATTTTTTTCCTGTGTTTGGCCAGTACACGTTTCTCATGCAGAGTTGCTACGTGGTTTTGCTGGTGGTGGAAATGAAGGTCCAAAGAGACAATCTCAAGGGTTTTTCCAGAGATTCCTGAAATTATCTCTGTATCACTGAATCTCCTGTGATGACTTGCTCTAATTTGGGTGGATTAAACATGCAGAAACCCAGAACATTTAACCTGAGCTCTAAGTCCACCCTCAGATCTGGAATGAGATTTCTGTGAGAGTGGACTGTGTTTTCGAGTGATTCATGCCGCTGGAGTGCCCCATCTCCGCTGTGTTGATATCATTGTGAGCACAGCAGCATCCTGAGATCCCTTCTTCTGTTTGAGTCATGGGCATGTGTGATAGAAAGGGAGAAGTGAACATATCATCTCTCTGCACAAGGGAATTGTTCACTTGAAGATTGCCCTTAGAGCTTTCTTCTGTTTAGAAGAAGTCTCAGGTCAGCTTCATCATCCTTGCGTTGACTGAAGCTTGTGAATATTTCAGTCATTCCCAGGCAGTCGCCTAAGAGATCCAAGTTTCACAACTTCTACAGCCCTCACTAATAGGTGTTAAAGGTAGAGAAAAGGCACCATCACAGTGAGAAAGGCTTTTCAGATTCGTCTTCAACTTTGTGTTCCTGCCTGCCTGTAATTTAGCCAGGAGAGGAGATCACCAGGAACCCTTCAGGCCTTAATATCTTTGGGTCTAAAGTTATCTCACATAACACTTGTGAAAGTTATGCATGCAGGCTCCTTCTTCTGGGACCACAATGGCCTTTGAAGAGTGGGATTATATTTGACAAGTCTCGTGTAACTTTTTGTTTCCTTCTTGCCATAAAAGAAAAGAGGAGGAAAGAAATTCCCTTGTTAAGTTTAATAATGGTTGGGTGTTAACTCTTGGCAGTCAGATTTCCATCAATTCCCTGTGACCAGCAGCTCAGAAGTATTCTGATTTAATTTCTGAATCTCTTCCAAATCTCTGAAGTCCTTGAATTTCCTTTGGGCATTCCCATTACTTATTTCCTGTTAGACTGATCGAATTATATACATGGAAAAATAATTCCTCAAATTTGAAAGAGTTACTGAAACTCATTAAACTCAGCCCCCTTACAGTCCCAAACCTAATCATCAAGGAATGTCTTACGTTGAGTGTTCCCCCACCCACCTCCTCTCAGTCCTCAGATGAAGCCAATCCTTATTGCCTTGAGTTTGTGCAACTGAAGTTTTGGTCTTCCTGGAATAAGTCTGTCTGCTTGGCTTGTTATCAATGAGATTGACTCAGACACATAGGTCAGCCATGCTGCTGAGAAGCCAGGGTTCTGCCTTGGCTCTTTGTGTCTTCACTGGAGTTGGAAATGTTCCTCTGCTTTGTCCCGTTCTCCTTGTGTTTTGTACTATCTTTTCATCACTGCTGATTTTCTTGTTGTTTACGCTTGTAACTAATCTAGACTACACAGATTTTTCTCAGCAGATAAAAGGTCTGTAAAGTTAACTGAGTTGCCCCTGAGCTCTTTGGAACACACTCAGAGCAGCTGGATATACAGGTCTAGAATAACTTTTAAGCCTGTGAGCTGTCTGGACAATAGGCTAAAGGTACATATGTCCATATTTGACATACAGCTTATCACATACCCTCGCAAGGCTTCAGCAGGAGATAAAAACCTCCTTGCAGGGATATGCAGACAATGAGTATGTAGATGGAAATTATTGCACCTTCAGGACTCACAGCTCTTTATTTCTCCACTTGCTGCTGTGGAATTTTACAGCACCATGCACAGCAGCAGCCAGAGACCAACATGTACCTCCACGGTGCTGCCTCACAGCACCGAGGCTGAGGAGAGAGTCGTATAAAGGCAAAGTTTTGCAGGAAGCAAACGTGTATCTTAGCAAACCTGTCTAATATTGTCTTTACCCCGTCCCAGGCACTCTCTGATCCATAAATGCTGTGCAGTAGTGCATCCCTGCATGGTGATGTGTCCTCCTTGGAAGGAAAGGAAAGGGAAAGGGGTTTTAGGGAGGGTGAAGTGACATAAGGCATGTGCTGTCCCTGGGTGTTTATCCGGAAGAAGTTTGCTGTCTCTCAGCCCTGCTGGTAGCTGGATTACAGATGTAAAACTACTGCTATCTGGTGGCTCCATGTGCAGTGATGTGCCTTCAGTATTTCTCTGAATGGTCTTTAGCTTCCTATGGATGCAATTTGGTGGGCAGAGAAAGAATAATTTATCACAGTTGTGACTGTGATAGAGGAGATGCGATCACTACAGAGTGACTCATTTGTTCTTCAGGGTTTAAACCAGTTTCCCTGGGATGAGGAAGGAGCCCTACTGCTGCATTTCCTATTGCTTAAGGAGCTATTTATCATCCTTGCTCTCTCCTTGCTCTGAGGCACAATGTGTGGGCCATGACTGGAGGTGGGATTCAAGACCAACTGATCAATAATCTGACCCAGGGCAACTCATCCAGGACAGCCTGTATGTACAGTTAAGGTATCCCAGAGCACGAGCTCCTTTTCCCCTTAGCATTAGCAAGTCTGCCTCCGTGTGCTCTTGTTTACCTGGTGCTGCCCCCACTAAAATCCCTTTTTATGCTCGTCGTGCTCATGTGAGGGTTTCAGAGTTTACTGCAACAAGGATAATTGGGCTGCGTGTGTGACACTGTTGCCTGTAACCTCTGTTGGATCCCCAGCACTGTGCATCTCCCAGGATTTCCTTCCTTCATCTTCTCTTTGCCAGCATGTCTTGCTTTTGCTGCCAGAGGTGCAGTTTTCCCTGAAGAAGACCTAGTGTATTTAGGGGGTTGGGCAGAAGCAAAGTTTCCAGTTTTAGAGTCTAGATTCACTGTTTGATAAATTGGTTAAGCACCAGTGCTCTGTCTACACAGACTTTGTATCAGAAGAACTACGGGAATACTAACAAAAAGGCTGATGCGATCACTGTAAGGACAACCCGTGTCTCTCACTTCGCCTACAGTTCCTTTGCAATAATCAGTGATCTGTAAAGTGACTGTCAAGCCAGAAATGCTGCTCAAAGATAGCTCCTCACCTACATGGCTAACACTGTGTCACAGTCATAGAGACTGACTAAAACAATCTCACTTCTGTGTCTCTGATGTACTTTGTCTCATTTTAGTTCAGGACAGGAACCACTTCATGTCCTGTTTGTGCAGCAGGCAGCCAGAATAGCGTTTGGGTCATAGTGCTGAAGAAGAAACACATAAGCTGTAATGTCCTGTGTAAAAAAAAAATCTTTAAAATACCTTGTAATTAAACCTCAGTGGGATTTTGCAAAGAAATTTGAGGCTGTTTGGGAGCAGCTTGGAATTTTGGAAGTTCTCTTAAGAACATCAAAACCCAGCTCTGAATAGCTGGCAGAGTAGAGGCTGTCCCTAAGGACTGAGTCCTGGGATTTTCTCAGAGGGACAGGGCAGGGATTGGTGGTCACTTGGTGAAAGCCAGCAAGCTGAGAATGACAAATGCACTTCATTGCTTGGTCGCTGTTGTGGTTTAACCCCAGCCGGCAACTGAACACCACACAGCTGCTCACTCACTTTCCCCCTCCCCGGTGGGATGGGAGAGAGAATTGGAAGAGTAAAAGTGAGAAAACTCATGAGTTGAGATAAAGACAGTTTAAGAGGTAAAGCAAAAGCTGTTCACGCAAGCAAAGCAAAATGAGGAATTCACGCACTACTTCCCATCAGCAGGCAGGTGTTCAGCCACTTCCAGGAAAGCAGGGCTCCATCGTGCATCACTCTGAACATCCCCCCTTCCTTCTTATTCCCCCCACTTTATATGCTGCACATGATGTCATATGGTCTGGAATATCCCTTTGGGCAGTTGGGGTCAGCTGTCCCAGCTGTGTACTCCCCACAACTTGTTGTGCCCCCCCCCAGCCTGCTCGCTGGTGGGGTGGGGTGAGAAGCAGAAAAGGCCTTGGCTCTGTGTAAGCTCAGCAATAACGAAAACATCTCTGTATTATCAACACTGTTTTCAGCACAAATCCAAAACATAGCCCCATACTAGCTACTATGAAGAAAATTAACTCTATCCCAGCCAAAACCAGCACAGTAACTTACTTAATGGAGCTGTTACTGGTGGGGTTTTGACAGGCAATGGGAACCTTTGACTACAGGCCTTCTGGACTCCATAGGGCTAAATCCTATGGATTAAGGCTAAGCCAGGTGGTTTTCTTTTGTGGTGTCACCTAACTAGAGACACGTTCTCTTTCAGGCTGAAGTTCATATTTGGCCCATCTGCTGTCCCAGCTTTGGATTTGGTGGATCAGCGTTCTGTCACCCGAGTCGTGTCCCCCAGCGGAAGGACTGCATACCAGGTACACAGTCCTCTTCAGTCTTACTTTCTGATGGTTTCCAGTTGACATGTGAGCCAATATTTTCTTAACTTGCAGAACGTGGAAGGGCACTTGGATAAGCATGGAGAGAATATCACTGTTTTACAAACCTCTGAAGTGACACTGGAGAGCAGTAGCCATGGACTAGAATAAGAACAGCATTGTACACTACCATTTTCTTTGTGGCTCCCAGCCAGTCAGAGGCAATTTGTTACATGTTTGTGGGTATCACAGTTAGAATGAAGTTTTCCAGGGATTGCTGATTTTGCTTTATTACTTTCATCCTATCCAGGAAAGGCAGTTCTTCCTCTTAACAAACTGTACACAAAGCAGTGTTATCTTCCATCACTGCATTTCTTTCCCTGTTGCCCTCCAAATCCTCAGTATCCTGAACGCTCTTGACCTTTACTTGGCGATAGGACCCTTGCCACCTGGGAGAAAGCAATGCTGGCCAAATCCATGAGTTTCATTCTAGTTCACTGTAGCCAAGTCTGTGAATCACAGAAGCATCTTTATAAAATGGCATTTTAGGGAGAAGAGCTCACCTTAGCCCTAAAGGTCAAACTCCTTACAGCACGGGATTGGAGATGGAGCTGGGACTCATTAGGTAAAAAGAGGAGCTATTGGCACTTCTGACTTTTCTGTGGTATGCACGATTCCTTGCTCTACTGTGCGACAGCACCCGTGGCATCTCTGTTGGGGATAGTCTGTCCATTCTGTGAGCTGTTGACCAGCTCCATCCAGCCCATGGGGTCACAGTCAGAGACGCACCGTGTGCTGTGCCCTACCTAAGGCTGTATAAGCAGTGGGACCCTGTGCCCGTAAGTTTTTGGTGAAGAAGCACCCAATTCCTTCTACCTAGCACTACTAACCCCCTCAGATAGCACAGCCCCCTCCATTGCTGAACTTGGTGCTGTGCCTTTTCACACACCAGAGAAGGGGGAATCTCTTTGCTCACTGTTGCAGCAGCCAAGAGGAACATTTCCAAATATCCTCCCTGCAAAGGGCCTTCTCTCCTTCACTGGAGGTGCTGAGATGCCTTGTGGGGTCATCTAGGGTAAGAGAAGAGCTGTGAAGCCAGGCCTGGGTAATGACACAAGCATTTTTCACATGTTCAGAGCTTGCATTGCTCATTTTGCACGTGGAGTCTTTATTGCTTCTGGGGCCTTGGAGAGGAGATCGGCCCCTCCAGAGAGGCATGATTCATAAACATACAGGGCTCAAGAACACAGCCTTTGATTTGAGTTGAGGGCTTGCCTGTGGTTATTTGGTAGAGCCTAAGAAGCACTGCTTCCAGGACCCTTATAAGCAGCTGCCTTACTAATTGAATGCTTAAAGGCTTTTCCTTTTTTACTTTTGCTCAGCTGAATATGCCACTGGGCAGAGAATGGTCATGTTCTCCTTGCAGAGCTTTGTCGGGCCATGCAGGCTAAGGCAGAGCTTTGCAGGCTGGGATATAGTCTTCACTTAGCACTCTTTTGTGTGAAGGATGACAGGGACTGCTTAGAGTCTCTGGTCTTCCCAGGGAGCCTAAATATGTGCTCACATGCTCACAGCTTTTCTGTAGCATGGCAGAGTTATCTGCATCTTAAGAGGCCTAATATTCATCTCTTAGATGCAGAAAGCCTCGTGAGACATGGAGGAGTTCAGAGAAGCATGGCAAGAGGGCTTGGATGTGCTGGGTGCTGTCCTGACACCCTGTTCTGGTCTGGGCAGGGTCGTTGCTGAACAGTGCTGCCTCAAACTGCATGAGCTGCAGCAAGACAGGCACCCCTCCGCACTGCCCAGCCCTCTCCCCACTGAAGTGAGGGGCCAAAAATTCCTGCTGGAGGCAATCCTGCAGTCACTGAATGGGAGTTGCTGATTGATGAATATCTACTGATGGCCCCAACAGTTGGCTCAACTGGTGCATGTTGGAAAAGAGTGTCAGAACTGCTCACCTCCTGCCTCTGCAGGTAGAGGGAGCTGCCGGTTCCTCTGCGGGGAAGGAACCCCTGGACAGGTAAATCAGGGCTGGTCACCAGGAGTTAATGTAGGACAAGCCCAGCCTTCAGCCAGGCACTTTGTAGCTGATGGGTGTGACTTGAGCGGCCCCCCTGCATCACCGAGGGTTAGTGCCTGTGTCCTCCCAGCTGACAGGCACCCTACAGGTACATGTGTGCTTCTGAGCAGCATTCCTCTTTAGTGGAGTGTGATTGCTGATTAAGGCCATGCTGATGAGTTCATTAACAGAGGAATCTGAAGAGGTATTTTCTCTGGGGTTGTGAGGCTGGTCCCATTGCGAAATCCTTCCTCAGCACAGCTGTCTGAGATGCAAAAATAAAGAGCAGAGCCTCCCCTGAGGCCGCTGCCTGGAGCAGTGACAGGAACGCAATCTGTGGATGGAGAAACCGAAACACTGAGTGGGATACTGCACTTAGGAGTAGCTAGGTAGCATGACTGGCTCTTCATTCATCTGTGTGTGTGGTGTAGGTATGTATCCCAGCTGTGTGCACTTCTCCCTCAGCAGAGAAGCTTGCCCAGTGCAGTGGGGAGTGGGAGGGCATCCATGGCTGCCTGGACAACATGCAGTCATCCTTTTCACTTTTCCCCCAGAAAGTCAGCTCTGCCATTTGCACCCAGATGTGGTTGAGCTGGAATGTGAGGTGGTGCTTTCATTTGCATCTGGATCTGGAGAACTGTTCTTTGAGGCCATGAGGCTGGTCCTACTGTGAAACTCCTTTGGGTTGTCATAGCCAAATCTGAGATGTTGATACTTCACGGGCTAGAATGCTGTTTGCATTCCATATCACCCAGCACACCTTGGGTACAGCTTCAGGGGAAAATGGCTCTGCTCAGACAGGCCTTAGGAGTGCAGCCTGTAGTGTAGGCAGCTCTTGCCCTCAGGAACTGAGATGAGAGAAAAGCCCTCAGTCAAGTGAAAACTATGATTTGTCTTTTAATGCTCAGGCATTAGTGCCCTTGCTGCTTAATAGAGGAATAGCGCTGATGGGATATTCAAGGGCTGATGTTACCTCAGAGTTGTTAATCATCCCAGAAGAGCTTGTACAATACCTGCCTACGCTGCAGACTAAAGCCAACCCTTGTAACTCCAGGTCAGGGATAAGTAAGTCTCACCTGCTGCAGAGATGGTGGATGCTGGCTGATGGTGGAGCTGTGCTGGATTCAGCATGTGTAAAGTGGTGAGCAGGCGGCGGTTGGGGTGCCTGTTAGCTACGCCTGAGTTGCAGAAATGCTGTGAGCTGTGGGAGTGAAGCCAGTTAGCAGGGGGAGAGGCAGTGCTTTAGCTCTCCTGCCAACTGTCACTTGCATTGCTCACATCCTGCACTTTTATTGGATTCTTCTTTTTTATGTCTTTTTTAATTAATTTCCTAGAACCATATGGCAGCCTGCCCCAACGTGAAGGATTTGAGCATCAGGTCCTGTCAGAGACTGTGGTGCTGCCTAGCTGTATGCCGGTGGCAGTACTAGCTGCCATGGTGCCACAGCTGGCCCTTCTGCATCCCCACATGCACGCTGGCAGGGACACCACCACCAAGGTGATTTTTCCTCTCTGTGCAGCTAGCAAGCACCTGGAGATGAGGGCAGTGGAAGGAAATCTCACAGCATCTCAGGGCCAAGAGAGCACCCCAGTGCCTGGCTTGGCTGCAGCTGGCCAGAAGCAGAGGCACTTTTTTCTCTTGGTCTTTGGATTTTATATTCTGCCTTATTAGGCAGAAGCTGCATTCTTGCCATCTAGGTCAGGATGGGGGAACGCTAAACTCAGCCCAAATCTGGCAGCGTCTGTGTCTTCCCCCCCTCCTCAAAGGAAAACACTTCTGAAAGAAAGGCACCATCGGAATACTTCGTCTTGGAAAAAACAATCAAAGGGGCTAGAGAAAAACAAACTTATCACAAGTGAAACAAACTCAGCCTGGAGTGTAAGGAGGGCCCAGGGTAAAGGCCAGACTGAAAAAAGAATGGTTTACCCTGAAATAGGAATGTGAGTCTTGTGTCCTGAATCTGCTGGCGGTAAGGGGGATTATGAGTCATAGGCGCTTCTGTGGGAGAGCTTAAACTTGTGGATGTCACCTTTCAGCCAAGGAGTGCAGAGAGAACTCCAGGAGACAGGGGAAGGCTCCCCTTGCAAGTGCAGCTCTGGACCGGGAGGGACAGTGTTCCTCTGGAGGGATTTAGGAGTGGGCATCCTGGGGGGAAGCAGCACTCTGCAGAACTCCACTCTCTTTTCACTTTTTTGTGTTTATCTTTGGATTTAGGTGTATGTGTGCCACAAACCCAACCAGAATTTAAAGCCTGCTATAGGAGAGGAGTGTGGTGTGCCATCAGAGCCCAGGGGCTTGTGTGCAGAGGAGGGCACTGCTGGTGATTACACCCATGTAAATCCCCACCATTCTCTGGAATATCCACGAACAGTTAGTGCCAGCTGTTGAGGCCACAGAGCTGACACAAAGCACTTGCTCTCACCGTGGCAGATATGAGACACATCATGGCAAATATTCTGTGGTAATTGTGTTTTGGCCATGGGGTGCACTCATTTTAGGCCTCAGAGCATTAGTAAAGCTCCTGCTATTGAGCAGAGGTTTCTGCTTAAAGCCTGCAAGTGTATTCTGTCCCTTCGGAACCTTCCCTTGCAAGAGGAGAGGGGAGAGCAGTTGGCTCTTAAAGTAGCTTTCTAAAAGCTATTTTCCAGTCTTGAAGAAAGCAAAAGGGAAATAATCCATAGCTTGGCTTTTCTATACCATGCAGCGAGCTCCAACAGCTCACAGTTTGCCTGTCAGCTTTGCCATGCTAGAAACGAACGCTTCCCTCCCCTGGCTGCCTGCATCCCGTGCCCATGGTGCAGAGGAAATATGCCTCAGTACCAGACTTGCAGAGGAACAGCATGTGGGAAAAGGAGGCAGTGCTGTTCGCAAACCAGAGATGGAGCAGGGAGGCTTCTTCTCTGGAGACTTCAACTTTGTTTATTCAGACAAAACTGGATTCCAATAGCCGCAGCTGGTTTGGGGAGCAGAACAGCAAGAGCCTTTGCAGCCTCCAGCCACTGAAACTGGTTAGAAAAGGCCTCACTGCGAGTGCTCACTGCTGCTGTCTTTCCATCCCCAGGTCCATGGTGGCCCTGGATTCATAAATGAGCTTTCTGTGACAAGAAAGGTTTGCCATCTTCAGCTATCCTGTATCTGCCAGTACTGGGGTAGGGAGCTCGCTGGAGGGGCTGGCACCTCACTGTGCTACCGGCTTTGGGAGATCAGGGGACAGAGCTTTGTGCTACTGCCCTTTTCCTGATCTCTTAGTAGCATATAAGTCACTGGAGCTGAGGTCTGCTGCAGGCACCGGTGTACGTACAGGAGCTCTTCCTTGCCTGCAGGGAGAGAAGTGTACAGAGACCCTGAGAAAGCCGAGGAGCTTCAAGCTTAGATGGGTCAATGCAGTGTTTGGGGACTTTTTTGTATTGCAGCACCTGCTTGCCTGTTGCGTGCCTGTGAGTGATTGTGGAGAGGACATCGGGCCAGATACAGGCCAAGTTAGAGAAATTAAAAGCAAATGCTGTCTCTGACTCCTGCCCCCTCGGGCTGCCTTTGTTTCAGGTCCTTGGGAGCTCAGGCAAACTCTACACCTGCTACAGTTCCTGCCACTTCTGCACGTGTCCTGCTTTTGGTTTTACTGTATTGCAGAAGAGCGAGAGCCTTCTGGTAAGTTGTCTGCCTTAACTTGGGGCCAGGACAGGGAGCGGGGGAGAAGGCTGTGCTCTGCTCCTTGAACCTGAGCAGGCTGAAGTTTCCAAGGGAGCAAACGCATGTGTGTTGAGTTGGCCACGCAGGCTGTGCCTGACCCACTGCATAATCTGGCCTCTGGGAGTCGCGGTATTTGGGTGGAGCTAGGCCTTACAAGGGCTAGGGAGGACTTTTGTTCTTAATTACAGATTACTATTCTGACTTTCAAGAGATGAATAATCCCTGGTCTCTTGGAACAAGGGCTACTGCTGCTAATGGGACTGCCACATGGAGTCTGCCTGATGAAGTGGTGCAGTTCACCTGGTGCCAGTGAGGAAGGGCTCAGGGTAACCAATTGCTCTGCAATTGTGGGAAGGGCATCAGGAGCCAGTAACACTTCGCTGTGTGTCAGATCCCTGTATTTATTATCCTGATGGCAGAACTAACCTGGGGCAACTGGAGCACCAGCCTGTGCCAGGGCTTGGCATGCCAAGAGGGAACCATGTTCCTGGGAGGGGTGAGCACTTCATTAGACCCATTCTGGCCAGGATGGATTTTTGTGGCTTCCAGATAGAGCATGACATTCCTGCGTTGCTCCTCCTGTTAACTTGGCTCCGCTATTATTTGCAGTGCAAACATATACTTGCCGTCTACCTCAGTCAGGCCATGGGAGCCTGCCAGGAACTAACTGTCTCTGAGGAGCAGCTCACAAGCATCTTACTGGCTGAGGAGGAGGATGAAGGATGAAGGATTTGGATCACAGGCGGATGTGCTTTCTGTGTACCCTCCCGGCTGTGTAGCTGGCATTTTTTGTATCTACAAGGCTGTCAAATGTTCACCATGGCTGGTAGATTTCTTCCTGCGCTGCAGCCAGGCATGATGTTAATTAGCAGCCTTGCACTGATAGATTAATTAATAAATGTTAAGAAGCCTGTGTTGACTTCAGTTTCATTTATTTATTTAGTCTATTCTTGGGATTTCTGAAGATGTTTGAACTAATCTGTAATATTGTGTGCTTGTGATGTGGGGATACAAACAGTCCAGCAGGTCTCTTAGCAATCCGTTAAACCTTCTTAGCTCTGCTTGTGCTTTGACTAACCCCACTGCCCTTCCAGTGCCTGCATGGCTTGGTAGAGTTGGCCTCCGACAGCGTGACGCTGCAGTGGCTTTTTGCAGCTGGCTGCTCAGCGATTTCTGATTCATCACTGGCAAACCTGTACCAGGGACTGGGGCAGGGACCCCTCAGCACCTTGAGGCTGATGACAGGTCTGCACTTCCACTGTGCTTACTGCAATGCAGGATCTTTGGAAGCAATCACCCCGGTTGCTGTGCTTTTAAATCAACCCATTTCAGAGAAGTCGACCACCTCATGCTGGCAGGCAAGGCAAGGCTGTCCACATCAGACACAGGGGAAAGGAGACTGCTGCTCCCTGTTCCACAAACCAGCCAGTGAGCTGGGAACCAGCTCCTTCCAGCTCTGTGACTCCCTGCCCGTGCTCTGAGATTGGGCTCCTCCTCGAGTACAGCGTGGTCTCATATGATACACCGTGTGAACACAACACCACAAGAAGTAATGGGGCACAGGCTGAGCCAGGTTGTGTAGGTGGTAAATTAAGCGTTCTGTATGTAAATAACAGTTACTGCAAATACAAAATCTGAACAACATGAGGAAAACACATCCATCCTATGTACATCAGAGCAGTAATGAGTGATAGCTGAATAGCTATAGCTGCACTTGCTGCAGAAAGTTCCTCTGCCATTTTGACTTCACATTTTTATAGAAACCATCAGAGCTTTCTTTTCAGGGGGGCAGGGGAGATGTCCTATTTTTATTTTGCCTTGAAATTACTTTGGCTCAGATCCACAAAGGCACTTAATGTGCCTAAAGACCATGGTGACTCAGGCCGTAGTTAATAATGGCTAACAACCCGATGGCACAGTCATACTAAGGATACACCACATCTGTCTACAGGAATTCTGGCTCATAAGAGGCATATGAAAGGTAGCAGTCATGGATGCCGAGCTGCAGTGCAAGCTGTCACATACCAGTAAGTGTTCTGGGACCGGCTCTCTCTGTATTGCAGCGCTGTGTGTTTCAGTCTGTTCGTGCTATCCAGAGTTTGGTTCATTTTCAGCCAGCAGGAGGGGAGAGATTACATTCTTTGTTGTAAGGATAAATGTGGCTTGCAACCACTTTGTAACGCTGCCAGACCTGCAGGTGAAACCCTGCTTGTTTCCAGCCATGATTAACAGAAGAAACACAGCCAAAGATAATACAGAAGGGGAGGAATGAAAGGAGGAGAGAGTCAAACCCTGCCCAAATGGCAGGAGGTGGCTACATGTGCTAGCTGGACTATGACCAAGGCAGATGCAGCAAAGCTGAATGGGGCTGTTAAAGGAGAAACGCTTGGGACAGTAACTTTAACTATTCAGATTCTTCTTGGAAATGCCAGTATCTGAGATACTGAGCTGTAGCTAAATTTGGACATTGCATAAACATGTACAAACCCATTCAGAGCTTACTGGTGGTTCACCCAGGTTTGGGGCTGGCTCTTACAGCTGGGCTGCTACACACATGGTAGCAAAATCCATCCCTCCTAGTGAACGATTCTCTGTTTGCATGGTGGGCCCCAAGTCATACCTGCAGCTGCTGCCTGCAGGTCATGCCAGCTGGCTTAGCAGGTGCTGCAGGAACAGCATTTCTTCAGCTTTTCAGCTGATTTTACACCATATTTGTCATTATATACGCCAGAGAAATGAAACTCTTGGGGTCTTATATTACCCCCCTTTTAGTGCAATGCAGTTAAAAAAATAGAAAGCTGTTTTCTATGTGATTCAAGTACAATTTATCAGGGACAAACTGCTCCAGGCATCACAGTCTGTCCACCGGACCTGTTGTTCAGGAACTGGCTGTGTTTAAACTTCCTTCCCTGCCACCTGGCTCTAAAACGCCTGCTCCCTATCTCTCCCGCTGCATGCGTTACCACTGAAAACCATGTTTAATACACATCCTTGCACTCCAGCTTCTCGCTGGTCACATGGTGATGCTGCCGAGATTGAGTGGAGAGAGATGGTACCACTTTACCACGTAAGGCCCTTCAGGCAAGACTCCCGTTTGTAAGAGGGCCACAACGCGATGGCAGGTCTGAACTAGTCAAGAACAGCTGTGTCTCTGTACCAGTCGGCTTTTGGGCACGAAGGAGGGAGGCTGTCTGGTGTTTTTCTGACTGCCCTCCCTATTCCTCTCAGTTGTGGAATGAAAGTGCCCTGCTAAATAAAAGGCATGCCAGAAACACTGGTTCGTTTACAGCAGTGCACGTGCCGTCATGCAGTCTGGAGAAGTGGAGCTCGTACTTCAGCTGTTAACGCACTCTTCTTTCTACCTTTGTCTAGTTTTGCCTATCACAGTTACATATGAAATCAGGTGCGGTAATTACTGAGCTGTGGTTGCAGAGTTATTAACTTGCAGTGCAAATTAATTAAGTCTGCTTCACTGGTGAGTGGGCTTTGTCCTTACAAAGGGCCAGGACTCCGTGGCGAACTGCAGAGGCCAGGCTAGACAATCTGTGAGGTGAGCTTCTTCCCCAAAGAGCTTGGCCAAAATCAGGTCGCGAGTTAAGGCATTCTAGCTTCTTAGCTCCCTTCCAGTCTCTTTTGCTACTGATGCAGGTCAGGATTAAAAAAAAAATTAAAAAAAAATAAAAATGCCTATTAAAAAAAAAGCACTCACAGCTTCTGGGGGTTATTGGGCTACAGAGGAACCCCTGCAAGACCAAGTTTTAGGAATCAGGCAAGCTGCAGCATCCAGCAATCACAGCTAAAAAAACCTGCACTTCTGGAAGCACTGCAAGGCTGTCAAGTTTTGTCTTGGGAGCAAAAACCTAATTGTAGAGATCATGTCACCAAGGGAGTGTTTGCACTAACCTCGGTGACTCTGGATCAGACTAGCTAGGACTATTAGGGCACTTCTGCCTTTTGCATTTTGATAGCTGGAAACAGATTTGAAATCAAACCTGAAGCATTGGTCTGCACGATCCTGTGGACCAAAGTGATTTAGAGGCAATAAAACTGCTATTCTAAAACTTCAGTCAACTCTTAGCTAAAATTTTTCTCTTTCAGTAAGTAGGCCTTCCATACTGGGGCCAAAAATAGCTGGCCAGTTCTAATCTTGTTTTCCCATCAACACGGTCACGTCCCTCAGAGCCTGGACCACAGATTCAGTTTCACACCAGCAACAGGGCTAAGTAAGACTTTTTCCCATCAGAGAATACTAGCTGCATCAAACAATTGATGGAATAATTAGGGTATTACCAAAGTGCTGTCAAGTATGGACTTAAAAGAACAACTCAAAAACAGACACAAAATTATTACTCCTAAATGAATCAAAAGATTTAAAAAAAAAATAATATTTAAAATAAAGATCCTAGGACTTGACGTGAGCAGCACAATTAGGGAAACACCCCCCAGAAGGTGGGGCTTCCACAGTCAATGTCTGACCTGGAAAGGAAACTCAATACGATTACCAGCAGTCACGCAACCTGGCTTTGCAGTCAAGGGTGAGCTGCACTCAACCTCCCGGTCAGGTTATTCCTCTAGGAGGCACTGTGTTAATTACAAAAATAAAAAAAAATTACAGCTGCATAACTGCATAGTGGTCATCTTCGAGCACTCCTAGAGGAGTTTTAGCTGTAACTGTTCACATAGGCACAGGGAAGGGTAGTGTCAGGGACAGACTGCAAAATCGTAGGAGCAGGACGTGCAAGGTCATATGGTCACAGAGGCTACCGGAGAGTTAATGTTGGAGGCAGTCAGGTGCTGGTTGTTGTCAGTGGGGCACTTGGGGAAACCATCCGTCTTGCAGAGGATTTTGGAAATGATCTTGCGAAAGGTGTATCGGAAGTCCCTGATCCTGTAGGCGTAGATGATGGGATTGATGACAGAGTTGGCATGGGAGAGGATGATGGCCATATACATCACCCACTCAGGCTTGGATTTGGAGAACTCCTCATGGAAGTGAGTGATGCAGTTCAAGATATGCAGGGGCAGCCAGCAAAAGGCAAAAAGTCCTACGATGATGGCCAGAGACTTGGCTGCGTGGATCTCCTTCTGCAGTGTGGTCCTGGAGTTCCCCATCAGTTCGATCTGATGCAACTGTTTGCAGGCGACCATGAATATCTTAATGTAGATTCCCAGCATGATAGCAAGTGGAAGCAGCACGCAGCCGAAGAAGTTGAAGTACACCATGTAGCTCATCGTTACCACATTCTCAAAGAGGCATGAGATGAAACAGCCATGGTGCTCTGTCCCAGTGTCAGCCCCTGTCTCGTTGGTGGTGTTGGGGCAACCGCTCATGGCTTTGTTCCAGCCCATAAGTGGAGTCAGTCCAATTCCAAAGGACAGGAGCCACAGCACAGCGATGAGTCCTCTTGCCCGCTTGCCAGTCACCAGACTATTATACCTACAGCATCAAGAACAAAACCAAGATAGAGCCATTAAATAAATGAGCGCTCGTGACTTCCCTGCAGTTAAAGTCATCGGCATTTTGGCTAATGCCACAAAAGCCCCACCCACGCCCACATGGGAACCTCACCTCTCTGATCAGTGGAGGGGCAAAAAAATCTCACCTGTGCTCTCTGCCTACACAAAGTGATTTGGGGAGGTGATTCACTTACTGTTCCTGAGAGATGGCAAGCACTGCCCCTGCCCACGAATATCCTTCGATAGGAGGTAAGGACTTGGAGTCTTAAAAAAAGGCTTTATCATTGCGTGAGCCTAAACCACCAACTACGAGGAGGGCAGGAACAGGGGGAAGGCTCACTCTGTAACCACCAACTTACTTACTCTCGTGCTCTAAGCGTCCACTACTGGGCACGCCGGGACATGCTACTGGGCTACGTGAACTTCTGGACTGACCTATTACAGCTGAGACAATGCTGGCTCTCAACTCTACACTGTAATGAGTAGCTAAAGTCTTAACCAGCATCACCACACATTTACAGCCTTTATACCACAGCCAACTTGCTTCAACTTGGGCTGCTTTTATGCCTGCAGCAGTGCTGGCTTTCACTGGAGATTACAGCAGTCCCATAACACGATGTCCCTTCCCATGCTACCTCATACACTAAGGTGGGAAGTACACATGTGTGTGGAAAACGGTGCTCCTACTAGTTTCCCAAACAGTGCAATTCCTGGCTTACACATGCCAGACTGCAGCCCACGCGAGCTTGTTGTGGCTGGATAACAAATACCCTGAAAGACTTTTCTGAGCCAGCATCTGAAAGCAACTGCTAATGCTGGATCGCTTAGGAGAGTTACAAGTTAGGGTTTGTGTCTCCATTCAGAATCTCACATCCGGGCGTGGAGCTGGGAGCCAGGGACACTGGGCTCTTCTCCCCCCATTCGACATCCCTGCTTTGTGCATCCTCCAGCAACCGTGCTGGTGCGGGCAGCTTCGCCTAGCTGCCGGGGCTGGTGTTGGCCTCGGCTGCTCATGTATCTGATGTGCCAATTCTGTAGGACACGCACCATCGAGGGGCCCTGAAGCCACCCAAAGACTCAGACCTGCAGCTTCTGAAGCCATCAGTGGGGTTAAACCACACAGCTGTGCGCAGCTGCTGCTGTCAAACGGTGCTTGCGCTCTGCTGACCCACCAAAACTGGTTGTAAAGGTTCAGATTTTTAAGTAAACACCTTCCTTGGGCACCTGCTGCTCTCATGCGTTACAAAGAAGCTCTGTGGTGGCCCAGGGACAAGCGGGTGCAGTGCTGAGAGGTGCAGAGCCATGCTCTGCCCCACATCTTTCCTAACCCCACGGACTGGGTGCCTTCATGGCCAAGAAAACAAAGGTTGTGGCTGATGCTCAGGGACACAAACGGGGCCGGAACCTAAAGCAGCAAAAGTCGAGCTGGTTTGGGTGCAACCAGAACACATGCCAACATCAAAGCATCAGTTGGATCGCTTTTTGGGGATACGAAGAACCAGTGACTGCCAGAAAGACATCATGAGAAACCCATTACTGTCCTCTCTACAGCCAGTTAGCATCTGCTGGCTGACACGCATGTGCCCCCCTTCCCACACCCTTCTCTCAGCACTTGTTTACTCTGGCTTGGCTACCCTGCTCCTCCTTTCCTAAGAACGTTTGTTCTGATTTTCTTCCGGCCCGTGAGGCAGGGGAAGGTTTTATTCCCACAGAACCGCAGCTGTGCCTGTGAATCACACTGCGGTCGCCTCCGTGCGAGCCATGCGTCCCTCTCCTCCTGCGAGCTACAAAGACAGGAGGGTAAGTGGGGGGGGGGGTCTGCCAACACGAACCGGGCAGCAAAGAGGGGCTGGGGGGAGCCCTCGGCTCCTTCTGCGCGGCCGCTTCGAGCGGGGCTCGCTTCGGGCACGGCCGGGGCTGGCCAAGAGATTGCGGCAGCAGCAGCCACATTTAGGCACTGCTGAACCATGAACATGCTCCACGGGGTAGATGTCTAAAAGGCAAGTCCAGCCACGGAGGGGTTTCTCCTGCACTTTTCTCTCATTATTACCAAGTCTCACTGGTTCAGAAGATGAGAAATTATCAGATGGGGCATCAGTGAGGCCAAGCCCATTGCTTTCAAAACCCCATGTTAAGTTTTCAGGAGCCAGAGGTGGTCTGGGGTTGTGGGACCTGAAAATGTTAAGATTTGATTCGGAGCAAGTTCCCAGAAATCCAATGTCTTGGCAAAGTCTGAGTCTTGAGCTACAATGTTGGCCAAGCTTAGTCAGTGGTGTAGGAGTACCAAGAGCTGCTGCTGACCTACAGCTCTGCACGTGGGAAGAAAAAAATGTGGCTCCTTGGCTTGTGCTATTCATGCTTAGTTGATCACTTCAGTTGCTCCTCTGCTGCCTCAGTCATTTCACAGCCCAAAAACTATTGTAGTGAGACCGGAAAATGCAAAAGGGACCATTGTTCAGAAAGAGAAACTGAAGGGTCAAGAGTTTTGTGTGTCTGAATCAGGCGGTGCACAGGAACATAAGGAAAAGCCGCCGCGGCTCAGCGTGCCGTGCTGGGGCCGGTGTCCACCACGCTGGTGACATTCGGTGCTGTCTCTTGCTGAAAATACATGACCCCAAATAAGGCTTCTTCCATCTGCTTTTCTCCTGAACTCTTCTGCAAAGGTAAGCTTCAGCTGGAAGGTTTACAAACCAGCTAAGAAGTCACTTAATTTTCCAGTGGCTGTGATGGTGGGATGTTTATTTTAGTGTTGCTTGCTCTTCCCCAGGGCACATAGCACAGTTGCAGCCAGGATCACATTTAAGCGGGGCCCCCTTCTGCGAGGAGGAGATATAGAAAAACGTGCCGCGCTCCGGGTCTGCAAGAGCCAGAGCTGAGCAATGGAGGGGGCTGCAGGCCTGTCGGCACAGGGAAGAGATGGTGTTCATTAAAGTGGAGGTAGTTATTCACAGTGAACACCACACTCCTTAGATTAGTTCTTTATTTTCGCAGGGATGCGTTGCAAATTCCTCCCAATGTCTCTCCATTCAGTGGCTTGATCCCAGGTAACGACGGTGGTCGCTGCTGTGACTGCAGAGAATGGTCATACGTGGTTGCTGAGCTACCAGCCAGAAGAGGCCAACGTGAAATTACGGATAGTTCGCTGCTCTAAAATTGTTCACTACCACCTTGTTATTGCCTTAATACACTTATTTGGTGGGACACTGCTTTAAATTAACAGAAATTAAGCATGTGCTTAAAAATAAAGTGCATGCCTATTAGCAGACCAAGGCATGAAGAGTCTCGTTAGTGAGCCGCTGCACACAGCTGCACCCGCCGTCATAAACCACCACCAAGCAAAGAAGGCATGGGCTGTGAGACAGCTGGGACTCAACTTTTTTCCTAAGCTCTATAAAACATGATCAGACAGTGAGGAACCAACAGATTTTCACAGCTCCGAATGCTCCAGCAAACCCCTCCTTCATTCTCTTTTAGGCTTAATATTATTAGGCAAAAAACTATTAAAGTAAATTTACTCACCTAAGTCTGCTCAATTAATGTATAACAAATATTGAATCTCCTCTATGTTTCTGCCCACAGACATCAAATGTTGCTTTAATGTAAATAACAGCTGAATATTTTAAAATGATTTATTGAGATTAAATAAGCTGGCAATGCATTAGTTCCTTTTACACCGCCAGGCAAAGTCTCTTTACTGGCATAATCATCATCAAGCAGCTAATTATCTCAGCTCCCACCCAGTGCCCCCACAGCGAACACGCTGCAGAAGCCCCGATGCCATCCCCACCAAAAGCGATTCAGGTTTCTATTCTTCTGACGCGGATAACTATACTTTTGCCACCAGTGTCACAGTCACACAGCCCGGATTGCAGTAGGTCAAATACTTTACAGAAAGAAAGTTCAGCTGCTTTTACAAGATGGCTCTGACCCGCCGGTGTTATCGTGTACAAGCGCCAGGCTGCTGGGTCCGTACCGGCTGTGCCGTCACCGAAACGGGCCAGCGGGTGACCTTCATCCAGCAACATTCGCTGTCGCCTGCGGCCCCTCCACTTCAGTGATGGCTCAGCAAGGTCCACAGCTTTTCTGGAAAAGCATCACGACAACCACCAAGGCAACAGTCGTACATTAGCGCAGGCTGCAGGAAGACTCTCCGCGTTCTCCAGGCACCGTGCCTTTGGTTGGTAGGATGGTCAGGGTTTTGGTTTTTTGGTTTTTTTTTCCAACGGGTCTCATTGCATTTCTAATGCTATTTACTAGCGCTGGATACCAGCCAAGACACCCAGGCATGCCTAAGTACAGCTGGAGCAGAGCAGGACTCGCTGCCAGCCTGCAGCCAGCCCAGCCTTTCCCATGCAGGAGTTTGGCTCCCGACCGGCAGGAACGGAGTCGTGCCCTGCACGTACCTGGCATCTCCCTCCGACCCTGGCAGTGACCCCGTGCAGATCACCCAAGCAGAAGCACTGCTCCCTGTCAAACGAGGAGCGTGCAGCAGCCAAGGCGTAATTCAGCATTTGGGATGATAAGACGTGGGCCAGAAGGCAGCAACAGCCTGGAGTCTGGAAGGGGACTGTTATTCCCACATTATTTATCCCCAGAGAGCAGGAATGGGAGAGAATCCCCTGCCATCCCCCAGCAGCCCAGAAGGATGAACAGGCGAAAACGTCGTGGTGGCACACACCTGCTCTCCTGGTGCTTGGTGGAGTCTGATGGTGGCCCTATGACGCTGGCCTGGGCCCTGGCTGATAAATTACTGAGTAAATAAACCCAAGGTTAGCAAAGAGCAGAGCCGATAGCAAATAGTTTGTTTTGCTGAACGTCTGAGATGTGTTGCCGAACAAAACGGTGATCTGCAAGCTGAGAGGCTGCGTCAGCACTTGCCACCGTGTCGTCATCAGTGCTGCGGTGCAGGGTCTGCCACGCTAGGCAGCGTTCGACCACGCAGCCCTTGTCCTGCCCAAAGGTGACCCCTTTGACTGTCAC